CTCTCTCTCTCTCTCTCTCTCTCTCTCTCTCTCTCTCTCTCTCTCTCACACACACACACACACACACACACACACACACACACACACACCATTCATCCACCCATCTGTGGAGTAGTGAGGGGGGTTTGCTTCAAAAATATTTTTGCCTTATATCAAAATCCAGAGCAAACTTCATTCTAAATCTGTAGTTTCCAATGGTATGTGATTTTTTTAAAACCATCTTTTTGTCAGAAATCAGAATAATAAATTTAGAGTTTGGTTCAGCTTGATGATGATGATAATGATGTTATCCATTCAGTCATGTCCGACTCTTAGTGATTCTATGGGCTAGATCTCTTCACATCTTTCAATCTTGCAGTAAAATTCAGCTTACTGATGATTAAATTGAATGTTATGAGGCTGAACAAGCTGCCCAAGATCACTAAATGAAATTGACTGGTCCAAAGCTGTCCGTGCTTTCTGGTTGCTTTAGATTAAGTTCTGGAATGTCCTGTCACTCCACACCAGAGGTCTGCAAACTTGGCAACTTTAAGACTTGTGGACTTGAACTCCCAGAATTCCTCAGCCAGCATAGCATAGCTGGCTGAGGAATTCTGGGAATTGAAGTCTACAAGTCTTAAAGTTGCCAAGTTTGGCGACCCCCTGCTCCAGACTGTTGGCCAAGTTGGTACAATGAACATTGACATCTAAGACAGTGGAGAGAAGGCTCTTCTAGCCTGGGTAACACAAGAAAATAAAACTCACAGCTATCTAAGACAAAGGGTCTGTTTATGTGCTTTATTCTTTGAAGACTTTGCTTACTTGTTTTTTTATCAACACATTTAAAGAACTTATATGACCTTCTATTTCATGCAGTGATCTTAGTGGTTCACAAAAACCAGTTATTTTGGATTGTTGTATATCACGCAGAGTCTCTTTTTTTAAGATGGGCAGCTATACAAATTTTATTAATAATTAAATAAATTAAAAACAATGGAATAACAAAAGAACAACTAGACACCAGACACAGCCCCACCCTAACCAAATGCTTGGGAGCAGAGCGAGGTCTTCATGGTTTTCTGGAAAAGCTAAAAAGACTCTGAATTTTGTGTAGGAAACTGTTCTAGAGGGTTGGGGTGACTACAGAGAAGGTGCACTGCCAAGATCCTATCAAATGACAGTATTTAAGGGGAGGGCACCTAGTTGTATGGACAGATACTGTACGGGAGAGGTCATCCCACATATACTGTGCAGAAATGGCATATCCAAAAGCTATACTGATAGACCATTAAGACAGAATCCAAGCAGAATCTTATCCCAAATACAAACAGTCAAAGGTAGTGTATGGCCAAGTTTTCATTCACATTGTGGTTGAGATAGTCAAATTCATATTTTGATCCCATGTTAAAGATAAAGTATCAATTCATAAGGGCTTCCTTTCTCATGTCATTTGCTTGATTTGTTTGATTGCATATCATTTTAAATGTTACCAGGTCGCAAGTAGCTCTGGGGAGATCTATCATGACTTCAAATATTCACTGGTCATTAAGGGAGAACTACCTGTATTATGTGAACCTAGTCCCTGAAATTTATAAAGAATTTAAGATGCTGGAATAGAAGTGGGAAGATCATGGTCCAGCCCTGAAGATGTTTTGGAGTAAAGTAATAAACCAGTTCTGTAGCACAACACTAATATTTAACCATGGTAACTCACTACAGATTTCCTAATAGGAAAAAAATTAGACTATAAATCTAATAAATATTGCCACCTATGGTTGGTTAAACTAACCATGGCTTCATGCGATGTATAAATTAAATAATTGTGTTTGAGCTCATATGAATTTTGTCAGTCTACTTAAAATATGATTAGGCTTAGAAAAAGTAAGGGACAGGGTTGCTATCAATTACCACCAACGTGAGAGTCAAGATATTTTTCAGTGCATTTGATAGGGACCATGGCAGGGAGGCACAGTTGCATTCATTGTCTGCTCATTAATTTCTCAGAGATACTTATCTCTTACTCTGAGAATAGATTTCTCAATTAGATTGGCCATAGGTTATTCCAGCATGTCTCTCCTTTAATTCTGGCAATGACTTGTACGTCCTCCTGCCCTGCCCATTCATTGGCTCTGCTTGATAGAAACTGATTTATGTTTTCCAATGGCTTGCATAAGGATAAAAATTTTTTCCAGCTGGACCTATGCATATCTTATCATTTCATCCATAAGCAGTTTACTCAGGCATAGTTTAATAATTGCTTGAGAACCTCTTGCGAAGTCATCAATACAGAACAATAAAATAAAATCTGTGAATTGGATCTAGGTTTACCCATGTGGAAATCAGGGCAATTCAATCTGTCTTTGACTCGATGTAGCTAAAGATATCAACAGTCCGATTGCTTCTTATCAATAAATATGAGGTTCTGGATTTATATATGTATTGTTCTCCGATTATTGTACCTTCTGTTTGTTACTTTGGTTTAATAGCTAGATAAAAGAGCCAGGAAGGCAGAGCATATAGATGGTGCACCTGCAGTCCTTCCGTAGAACATGGAGGTCCAATTTTATCTAGCTTGACACACGTAGCAAAAATGTGAAAAATGTAAAACATATATAATAAACATTTTCCTTTAAATTAATGTACAAATAGCAGATTTTTCCCGTTAAAAGATGCTGCTGTTTCTGCCTGTGCAACAATAAACGTTTTTTTAAAGGAAAGTGAGGTAGAAGGGAAGGGAAGAGAATCACCTTTTGAAAAACAGGGAGAGAACGAGCCATTGTCACAACACGATAGGCAGCCCCCAAGCCAGAATTTCCATCCTAAAGTCCAAATGGAACATTTTCAGTCCAGCATTAATTTCAAATGATGGGAAATTCTCAGGTCTTCTCTTGGTATAAACTAGCCATCTTTAGATGCAGAAGGTCTGGGGGCTGTTCTTTCAGGTCCTGCCTTTTGGTCACCAAGGTGCTGGATCAAATATGTCTTTAATCTGATCTAGGAGAGTTGAACTACTTTCCTGTTTCTCAACTTCAGCAACTTTAAGTAGTGTGGAATTCAATTCCCAGAATTCCCGAGCCAGGGAATGGATCTATACTATATGAGTATAGTTGTTAGAAGAGATTCAGTATGATGGCATTTCCCATTAATTCTGTAAATCACACTATTTCTGGGTAGTATACATGTATTGATTGTAGTCAATAAATAATTGGGGATATTGAACTCACCAGGGATGGTGGATAAATGACATATTTTCCTGGGTCAATTCATTTTCTTCCTGCTTTATTTCTAAGCATTTGTTATTTTAAAAACTTATTACTGCAGCCTGAGATCATTTCTTAATTTAGGTTTTGAATTTTCCAAGCTTAATTTCTCTTTGCACATCATTACCATGTTTGTCTCTAATTTGTAATTAAACATTTTCTCATTTAAATCTAGTTATTTTCCTATATGAGTTTGATTGGCTTAAATTCCAACAGTAAAAGAATGATTTATTTCTACAGCAAAAGTGGAATGGATAAGCGGCGGTTGGATGGAAGCAAATCAGCAGTGGAAACACCACAAAAGAAGAAGAAGAAGATGAAAGTTAACCAAGAGGACTCTTTTCTACCATTAGATACAGGTCTTTCCCTTGCAGAAGATGAAGCATTAGTATTACAATTGCTCAACAATTAAACCTCTTTTTCCACCGTTGGCAATGTTATTCCAGTTATTTTTGTCGTTATTAAACAAAGACAAGGATAGATGAATGCCAAAAAATATTCATGTGTTAACAACTGAAAGTATAGATTCTCTGATGTGTGCCTATAGTTCATAGGTGTACTCTGTTATGAAAGTTGTAAGTGTCTTTATCTGTCAGATCTTTCAATAGTTATTTTTTCTAAGATGCCAGGAGGTGTTTTTTTAAAAAAATATATATACAATAATTCTTTGTACAGAAAGCTATGAGTAACCCAGGAGGATAAATCAGTCTCATCTTGTGGTAAATTTTATAAGGTAAAATGACCAAAATTGAATGGATACCCATAGAAATATTTTAAATATTATTTATGTCAAAGAATACATTTTTTTCCAAAATAAAATGAAAAAAGGTTTGACTTCAATTTTCCTTAAAGCATTTACATGATATTCCCAATGTTGATATAAATTTTCCTTGCTTTTGCTTTCTAGTCAACTATCAATAAATCAAGATACTAATAATTCTGTATATCATTTCTTCTTATGGGATATTTCCAGATTTTTTTTTCCTTCAAGCACTCAGTTTCAATCACTAAATAACATTCCAACAGCGTACATTTTTCACCATTGTTAGCAGGAAAAAAATATGCAGGTTGAAATGTGTTTCACAGGAGAGTAAAGCTCAGCTTCTGCTTCAGACTTTTTAAAATCCAGATAGTTCTCAAGTTATGACTCTAATTGGGACCAAAATATCTGTCACTAAGTGAAGCAGTCATTAGGCAAAACACCATTTATCAATGGCAGTTCCAGTAGCCCCAGTTGTTAGGCCCGGTCTACACAATTATCAGGCTTCTCCTGCCTGCCACGCTCACTTCTGCTATAACTCTCCCACTTCTCAGACCTTATGGCCACCCTGCCCTCTGCTGCCCACTGTCAGCTCCAGCTGACCTGCGCTGCTCCCACTGAGGTGTTACCAACCTGGCCCTTTGCAAGGTAGCTGTTAGATGCATGAGGCTACACAGAGGCTTGCATGACTAGCAGCTGTTGCACAAAAGACAAGCAGTTACCTCAGCTAAGCACTTGTACTGGCCTGCTCCCCCCCCCCAATACAGCAAGAGTTTTACAGGTGTTTATTCACCTGCCCCCCCCCAAAGGTCCTCAGAAAGCACCCCCATTGCACAGGTCAGATTCCAAGCTCAGCACGGCAAGAGTCACAGAGTCCAATGAGCACACACAAACTCCAGGAAAGCAATCCACAATTCAAACGGATCAGGATACACGGCATGAGCACACAAGGCACAGAACTGGGCACATTGCCCCATCAACGCTCAAGTCCTCAGGGCGGGATTAAGTAGGCAACACTTAGTGCAACCCTTAGTGAGAGGCATGGTTGCCTCCTCATGAGCAGTCTAGCTGACCAGTGTTGTGCCTGTCTCCCCTCTGCTCTACGTGTCCTTGGATCAGGAGGAGGTGTGGACTCCACCTCATCCTCAATGCTAGTAGGCAGCAGCTGCTTCCGGTCCTTGCCTGGAGCCTCCTGGCCAACTTTCTGCAGCTGTAGCTCGCCTCCCTCCGCCTCAGCCTTGTCTGATCGACCCCGCTGAGGCTGCTCCATCAGGCTAGCACTCTCTGAGCTCCAATCCTGATCAATCCTTGGCTCCGCATTTTCCTCTGCACCCTCCTCCTCTCAACTCATGTCTGAAGAGGGGCCCGGAGGCAGATCCATGACAGCACGCTTTGTCAGCAACAGGGCAAACAAGATGGAGAAGGTCAGCTGTGGTGGCAGCGGGCAGGTTGCCAAGGGGACAGGGTAGAGGGCAGGGCATCCACAAAAGGCAGAGATGAGGAAAGACAGGCGGGTAAGTGGGGGAAAATATATATTACATTTCGTATGGCATAAGAGTACAGCATTAGTGCATAAAAATTCTCAAAACGAACAAAATACTAAACACCCAATTATTTTAAAAGCACACAGTATGAGTGATGAATACAATTATGAATAAAATTAAACTACATATGAGCAGTTACTGAAGTACTAAAGGAGTGACTAAGCCTGTGGACAGATATCTAGATCATTTTAGCCGTTGGACAGCACTGTCCTCAAAATGATGTATTTCATGCAGAGATCCAGGGAACCTGAGGGGAAATTCTGTTTCAATAGGGTGTAAGGTTGGTGGGACGTTCCCATCGTCAAAAATTAGGATTACTAACCAGCCCCCATTTATATTTCCAATATTAGCACCTGCCATGGTTGGTTTGAATTCACTTGAGTGCTTGTCCAGATTTTTCTGGGGTGACCAAAGCAAAAGGGGCATTGTACTGAATCAGTCGCTAAATTAAACCTCTGTGTTAGAAGTTGCCCACTCCTGGCACACTGATATCTCAATGTAAATGTCTGCTCTGACTAATTGTTGTCCAGGTTTTCACAGCAGTTTCCAAGAATTGAGTTTTAAGTATTTGACTGTGACACTTCTTGTGTACAGGTAATAATAGGTTTGCCTCACATTTTTGCCACTCCCTTTTAAAGCTGATTATCTTGTAAGATGTAGGGATGATATGTTAAATAATACCAGTAGCTATAGTCAGAGGAATGGAAGCACATCCTGCAGTTATAAATGTGAATGGGTTACCAACCTTTAAAAAAAAAGGTTAATAGATTATGGGACCCACTCGCATTTGCAATGATCTTAAGTCCGAGAACTGGTCATATATACCATTTGTTTAGTACCATCGTAATTTCAAATAGTTGATGAATAATTGTTAAGTAAGGACTACCTGTATACCAAAAAGGGAGAAATCTCCGAAAATAAGGCCACACTTTTTTTTTAAATAAATAGCTATGACATGTGGTTAGGAAGTTGTAATCCTTTTGCTTGGTATTAATTTATTTTGTTTATTTATTTAGATATATTATGTATTAAACATTGCACAAGAGGGATTGGTTGTTTTATTAGATATTTGTTCAATATACATTTCCTTTCTTCCTGCCTGCCTGCCTGCCTGCCTGCCTGCCTGCCTGCCTGCCTGCCTATTAAAAGAAGCAGGTTTTGGAAACTTTGAAGCCAAGGCTTGGGAAAGATTGGCATTCAACCATTAGAAGCAAATCTACAGTGTTCTACCTTAGTTGTGGGAGAGATCATAAAAATCAAGAGGCATGTGTGAAATTCACTAGGAAATGGCAAGTGAGTCAGGATTTACAGCTCCCTGTTATAACCCCATTTTAAAAAAAGAAGTAGGATTGCAATCAGCTTGTCCACATCTTACATCTGCCTTACTGTAACATAGTTGTTTATTTCCAGTATCAGTCATTTCAAATTGTGCTCAGGGGAATTTTGGCATTCTGAAATGAGATCACAAACCATAGAAATGCAGAGTTGAAGGAGGCTTTGTAGACTGTCTTGACTGTTCAACACAGAAAATGCAGAGCTTAGAGAATCCACAAAAGTTGACTTTTCATCATTTGAGTGGAGATTAATAGCAAGGAAAGCAGATCATGCCTCTAAATAATTAGTCCCAATGCTGTTGGTAAGATTAACCAAATGTTCAATTAAACTGCACCTCCCTGTCATTCAAGACCATTGAACCACTCACACTTTGTGGGGCTGCAAAGAAGATATATTTTTCTTGTTCTTCATGAAATGTTGTGAAGAGATTTCTATTGTGTTTTTACGGTTCATCCCATGCTAAACATATCCATTCAAACCGAATTCTTATTTTGTTTTTATATATGATAATATATAAAATATGATAACTGCAAGATTATTACGGTATATGCTCAAAAGTGGAAAGGTTCAAATTACCCACAGTAAAGGGTAATTCAATTGGTTGAAGATTATGGAATTTGCAGAGATGGCTAAATATACTTCCTTGATTACATAAAAGACCATTTTTGCATTTACTGCTGTCTTGAAATCCCTTACACACTTTTTTTACATGAAAGAGAAAGAAATAATTCGTGCTTTTGATGATTAAGTGAAAAAAAATTAGATAATTAAAAAGAGAGCTTTTCTTTTTATAATCATGGAGTGAGAGATAATTTTGTAATCGCACTTTAATTTGCTGCAAAGAAAATTGCAGCACTTGCTTTATTTTTCCTTGGTATTTCTTTTTCTTCTTGTACTTTTCTCTTTCTTTTGCCTTTCTTCCTTTCCTTTATATTAGTTTTTGTTAGCTTTTACCTTTTACCTCAATTTGCACAGACAAATTGAAACCAAAAGAATTATTTGGGTCTAGGAAATTCTAAACATGGTATGATCTCCATCTCTATCTGGCATTCAAAGATGTTCTGTACTCTTAAATTTGTGTTGCTGATCAAGATTTTGTATATGGAATCACCTTTGCATTGGAAATCTCAGTTGACATTCTAGAACAAATCTACAGAATATATCCCATTTTATTGAAAGAACGTCACAGACCTCCATTTGCACAGTTAAAAGTTAAAATGTTTCCTTTTTTAAGCCTTGCATAGCTCAAGACCCATATCTTTGTACAGTTCAAGATCCATATCTAGGGAGGCCACCATCCAGATACACCATCATCTAAAATGATAAAGGGGAGCCCTACATTTCTATATTTTATTTATATGTGTTATCTTGTTTTTTCACATATGTACTGAAGAATGGTATATAATATTACTTAATATTTATTGCTAAAATAAATGCTAGACAGACTGCTTTAACCATGTCAGCAGCAAGTGGCCAATTATTGCTTTGAAAGAGATCACTAGATCCAGCAAGGCTGTTTCATGTTCTCTAGAATTTATCTTTGCCAATTAGAGCTTAGAACATAAAGGCACATAACTCTAACCTCGGTTTTTACAGCTCCCAGAAAAGGCTCTAAAATGAAATGAAAAATGAACTGTTAAGACTCAAAATAAGTTTAATTGGTTTAAAAATAAAAGACTTTCCAAATTTCCTCCAACCTATGGGGGGGGGGAGGGAAATCCTGGTTTTGCCTTTATGTGTAACTCTTTTATTTTACATTATTTCCCTACCTTGCCACCTCCCCAAACTATAAAAGATAATTCCTAAACACCAAAAGTTTGCTAATCCCCAATTTAAAGTATTTGCATGGAAAACTCTGGTGTAAACTCAAACAGATTATTTCTCAAAACAGACTTGCTAGTTACGTAAAATATAGGTTTGATATTTCACAGTACATTACAAAAATAACTGGATTGCACTGAAAAACTCTTATCATATACAAAAATAATGTGTTTTCTGGACACATGTTGACATGCTCAAGGTTGATAACAGTGAAATTTGGCAACAGGTTGAATTGAGAAATGATGCCTGCATTGAACCATGATATCAACTTTGCACAGAACTGAAATTCTTTGGATTGAAGGAAACACTGACATATTACTTGGGTCCTTCCACTTGCTTTGCTGATGAAATGTGGAGAGAATTCACTAAACACATTTTATTTCAACCCCACATCTTGTCGGCATGGAAAGAAGAGGCCCAGCAGAACAACATTTCCATGGTTTTCTTCTGTTTGTTTTTAAAAGCTATCCATAACTTTTGACAGAGTTGAAAAATAAAAAAAATAACAACCTTTGATGTACTGTACGTTCGGTATAATTTTAAACCATGATTCAGAATGCTTGCAAATGAGTAAAATTAAATTTAACTCCAAAGCAGCTATCAGTTTTGAAGTTTTAGCT